TGTATATATGTATGTGTGTATATATACATATATACACACACACACACACACATATATATATGTATGTATATATATATATATCTTTATATGGTAAGTATAACATAAAATAATGCTAAAAATATGGTTTCTTATACTTTACCATTACATGTGGTAAAGATGGGTCAGCATATAACATTTAGTGTTGAGAAAAAAACATCGTTCTATAAGTAAAAAACTGAAAATTATTTTTATTTTTTAGGTTGTCCTTTGTGGAGGGTCTTCTCGAATTCCAAGGCTACAGCAATTGATTAAAGATCTTTTCCCAGCTGTTGAGCTTCTAAATTCTATCCCTCCTGATGAAGTTATCCCCATTGGTGCAGCTATAGAAGCAGGAATTCTTACTGGGAAAGAAAATCTTTTAGTGGAAGACTCTCTTAAGATAGAGTGTTCAGCCAAAGATATTTTAGTTAAGGTATGTTTAGTTTTTCTTTTTCATAAAAGTGGTATAAATTTGATACCGTAAACCATGTTTTCTTTTGTTTGTTTCTTATTAATCCTCACCTGAGGATATTTTTCCATTGATTTTTAGAGAGAGTGTAAGAGAGAGGGAAGGACAGAGGGAAACATCAATGTGAAAGAAACACATCAATTGGTTGCCTCCTGCATTCACCCTGACCAGGGCCCAGGCTGGAGAGGAGCCTGCAACCAAGGTACGTGCCCTTGACCGGAATCGAACCCAGGACTGTTCAGTCCGCAGGCCGAAGCTCTATCCACTGAGCAAAACTGGCTAGGGCATGCATACCATGTTTTTACAATAAAACTTTGTATACTGATAAATTTTTTTAATTTATAATTTTACTTTTAATGAGTTTTTTATATTTTTTTTTATTGATTTTTGAGAGGGAGAAAAGGAGAGAGAGAGTAGGAGAGGAAGAAACATCAATGTGAGAGAACTACATTGATCGGTTGCCTCCCATATGTGCCCCAACTGGGATCAAACCCGCAACCTAGATATGTGCTCTGACTGGGAATTGAACCCGAGACCTTCTGGTGCACAGAATGATGCTCCAACCAATTGAGTCACACCAGCCAGGGCTATATATATTAACTAATTTTAATCATAAATTTCTAATATAGGTAGAGAGAGATGTTTCAATTTATTTTTAAAGTGGGTTGGGATTAAGGATCATTTCTATTTTCTTTTGTCTATCTGTTGTTTGCAACAATTATAAGCAAGAAATATATATTACATTTTTAATAGGAATTTTTTATCATTGTAACAATAAAAATCAAAAAGATATGCATATTATTTTCCTGCTTATTAGGGAGTTGATGAATCAGGAGCCAACAGTTTCACAGTACTGTTTCCATCAGGGACTCCGTTGCCAGCTCGAAGACAACACACATTACAAGCCCCTGGAAGTATATCTTCAGTATGCCTTGAACTCTATGAGTCTGAGGGGAAAAACTCTGCAAAAGAGGAAAACAAGTTTGCACAGGTAAATACATAAAATTGGATTATGAATTAGTCACATGAAACTTTAGCTTTTCTTTGTGGATTAGACTCAGTTTAATATCAATTAATAGAAAATGTGATGAATGGATTAATTCTATTTATTCGTTTCTGTAAGAAGAAATAGGCAATTTTAATTTGAAGGAGTGACAGGAAAATAAAAGCAAAATACAATTTATATTTATACTCTTTCTCTTTGAGCTCTTGACCCTTCTTGGTTATAAGGTGTGACATTTTTTGTTTGCTAACTGCCAGGTGCTATACAAATATACTCTCAAAATTATGTGCATTTTATAGATGATTAAAGAAACAGGTTTATGGTAGTAAATACCTTATTATTTCCTTGGTTGAGCTTATTCATCCTCAGGTTGGTTGTACACTTGGGCCCATGCTGTTGCCATTAAACCATATTGCCTCTGATACAGGTTAAGTTTGCTTTTCAAAATACCATATGCATATTTTATGCTATATGGTCCTCTGTATCCTTTTAAAAAGAGTGAAAGGAGCCATGTTATTTGCTTAGAACATACCCAAGAAATATAGTTACATTAAGCCCTGGCCAGTTTGGTCAGTGGTTAGAGCATCGGCCCATGGATGGAGAGTCACGGGCTCAATTCTCAGTCAAGGGTAAAGTACACACAAGGGCTGCAGAACCATATTTACAATAGGATATCATTTGTATTTTAATAAAAAGATTGAAAGCAAGGGTCCATGTGAGGGAAGAGGTGTTTGGGTAGGTGTATGTATTTAGATAATCAGGTATGGATACAGAAAATATCTATAGGTGTTTGAACTATATTCAGGAACCTTAACAGTGGGTAGGTTTGAAGATACCAAGAAGATTTTTTTACTTAACACTTATACTGAATTTTTTTATAAATAGCAAAGGGCATAAGCATGAATTACTTTTTAAAAAATATTTTTTTATTTATTTCATAGAAGAAGGGAGAGGTACAGAGATAGAAACATCAATGATGAGAGAGAATCATTGATTGGCTCTACCCCTTACTCAGGATCAAGCCCACAACCCGGGTATGTTCCCTGATCAGGAATCAAACCATGACCTCCTGGTTCATAGGTCAACACTCAACCACTGAACAACACCAGCCAGGCATGAATTACTTTTATGTAATAATAAAACAAATGTAGGTAACAAAAGACAGTGTGTATCTTTAGCTTTAAATCTATTTTCTGATTTTAACAAAAGAATAATGAAAATACATATATAGCATGTCGGCACCACCTAATCTTAAAATCTACTGGTGTAGGACTCGTCTAAATGTTTCTGTTGTGTATTACTATGTAAGCACTTTACTCTATACCAGATTTCTAACCTTGAGTGGCAGTCTTGGGATTCCTTAGCTTCTCTCTCATACATTACTACCTTTTCTCTTCCCTTTGCTGAGATTCTGCAACTACTCTCAGCCTTTGCTGAGATTCTGCAACTACTCTCAGTATATCCTGATTTTTTTTATATAAACAGCAAAGGACATAAGCATGAAGTACTTTTGTGAAAATATATTTTTATTTCATAGAGGAAGGGAGAGGTAGAGAGATAGAAACATCAATGATGAGATGGAATCATTGATTGGCTGCACCCCTTACTAGGGATCAAGCCCGCAGGATATATACATATCCTATATACAGATGCCAGCAGGAGAAGAGTTAGTCACACACTGAATTTGGGAAGAGACTCTTTTAGAGAACCTATCTGTTCTAACTTCTTCCTTTCACAAATGATCAAAGTAAGATACCTAGTGCCTTGCCTAAGGTCATAAAACTTGATAATGACAAAATCTGAAAAGTTACTTCCAAACTTGGTTTATTGGTTAACCTTTCTTTAGGAAATTGAGAAATTTTATAGTAAATCCATTAGTATCTTTAACTTATAAATGCAATCTTAGTTGTACAAAATAATTTGCCACAGGTTTCTTTTAAATAGGTTTTCAAGGTGTATTTAAAACATTTGAATTTTTTAAAAAGTATATATAGAAGGCTTTCCAAAATATAATTTACATGTTACTGTAGTTATCTTCTATGCTCTCCTGTAGGACACATTTCATTTCATAATTAAGAAAGCTTAATCCTGTTCTCTAAATTTTGATAACTGGTAAGAGAATTAAAAACTGCCCTATTTTAAAGGTTTTGTTTCAGTAATAAGTAGGATTTGGTCCATTGAAATAACTGATGCATCTGTTTATTAATATGTCAAAATATTGAATCATCTTTGTGTTATTTCTGCATAAACAGGTTATACTCCAGGATTTAAATAAAAAAGAAAATGGATTACATGACATCTTAGCTGTTCTAACTATGAAAAGGTACAAATTAAACTACTTCTGATGTTAAAAAAATTCACTTTGAGACTTGCCTTTTTTTGTCAGTTTGATTCTTCACCCATTGTCATTCTGGGAAAATCATTTAGTAAAAACTTGTATTTTATTAATGATTTGTATTTTTGTCCTACAGAATTACTGTATTTTATAAAGAAAGTATATCTCAGGTCATTTGCATTCTAAATTTTTTATGAACTCTTTAAATATTTTGGGTGTAGTCAACCAAAAAACTAGTTCATGCAAATTGGGATATCATTTTTATTAATTTTAAATACTAGTATAATTTTCCAAGGTTTACATAATTCACATTATTTGTCCTTAAAGGATAAGTTTATTTCAATATTGCTACAGAAAATCTCTAGGAAATAAATTACTAACTAAATCCAGCTGTTACCATTTCCCTAGCAACAGTTCATCCATAACACTGAATCTTGCAAGTAGATCATTTTGAAATTAACATTTGGGACAATTCATTTCATAAACCATACTTAACAAGAATATTGAATTTATTAGAGTATGTTTGCCTTGGCCTGGGCTTAAAAATGGCATGATGTGTCTTGAGCTTGAATAAAGTCTTGAACTTAAGGTCTTTATCATTGTGGGTTTGCAAGGAATATAATTTTGGTTTCAGTGGTCTAAAAGGAATATTTTTTAATTGAGAGTATGTTGGGACAGTGAAACAAGAAAGTGCTTGGCATAAAAGAAGCAACAGGAGAGCCCACGCAGGCCTGCTTTGGTTCTCCAAAAATACTATAGGAAAGAAATGAGCCAAGGCTAGGCTGCTTTAGCTCACTGGGAAGTCAGAAAAAAGGGGCCCCTTGGAGACAGGTTCAGGGGGTTACCCCGGGATGAGCTGCCTCTGTCCACTCCTCCCCTGGTTGCAGGTCTCATGGAATCCCTTAGAGTTTAGGAGGTGCTAGGCCAGTGATGGCGAACCTTTTGAGCTTGTCGTGTCAGCATTTTGAAAAACCCTAACTTAACTCTGGTGCCGTGTCACATATAGAAATTTTTTGATCTTTGCAACCATAGTAAAACAAAGACTTATATTTTTGATATTTATTTTATATACTTAAATGCCATTTAACAAAGAAAAATCAACCAAAAAAATGAGTTCGTGTGTCACCTCTGACACGCGTGTCATAGGTTCGCCATCACTGTGCTAGGCTGTGGGGGAAGAAAAGGAGGAAGGGAAAGGCACGGGTGTGCTCCTGGGAGGGTGAGCGCAATAGGAGGAAATTTTTAACAACTATCTAATTATAGCATATGATTCTAAATTTAAAGACACTGAAGTTCTATTTATTCTTTATCTTAATACTCTTCTTTCAAAAATTAACATTATCTCGTTTATAAAAAGTCCACAAGTAATTTCTTAAGGACTTTCTCTTTTTATAAAATGAGCTTATGAAATGTTATTTTTGTTTGTTTAGGGATGGATCTTTACATGTGACGTGCACAGATCAAGAGACTGGAAAATGTGAAGCGATCACTATTGAGGTGGCATCTTAGTATTTTAGAAAAACCTTGACTCTTTTAGAACTAAAATATCATCAATTACTTGGTTTTGTTCATATGTGATGTTTATATTGAAATACTTTTGGATGAACTGTGTAATCTATGTTTCTATTAAAATACAATATATTGATAAATGTTGCAACCCTTTTTGTTTTCCATTTAAGATGAATCAATGGTGGGAAATATAAGGAACTCTTTCTATCATGAAGCTGTTTAAAATTAAATTGAGTGAATTGAAGGGCATTTTACTGGGAATTTAACATTGTTTTCTTAAAATTGTTTTGTTTCTATAATGTTAAGAAAGAAGTCTTTTGCCAAAACCGGTTTGGCTCAGTGGATAGAGCGTCGGCCTGCGGACTGAAAGGTCCCAGGTTCGATTCCGGTCAAGGGCATGTACCTTGGTTGCGGGCATATCCCCAGTGGGAGATGTGCAGGAGGCAGCTGGTCGATGTTTCTAACTCTCTATCTCTCTCCCTTCCTCTCTGTGAAAAATGAATAAAATATATTTAAAAAAAAAAAAAAAAAAAGAAGAAAATATTTTAAAAAAAAAAAAAGAAAGAAGTCTTTTTTTCTTTTTAATCCTCACCCAAGGATATGTTTTTATTGATTTTGAGAGAGAGAGGAAAAGAGAGAGAAAGAAACATCAATGTGAGAGAGAAACATTGCTCAGTTGTCTCCTAATGTGCCCTGACTGGGAATCAAACCCACAACCTTTTGTTGCACAGGACGACGGTCCAACCAAATGAGCCACCCAGCCAGAGCAAGAAGACTTATATTCTTATTAGATGACTAAGAGAACAATTGAAAAGTCTTTGGTATTAAATGGGAAAAAAAAATCAGAACCATGTACAAAATAAGATACCTTTTTTGCTTAAAAGAAAAAAGTAAACTCATAAACTCACCAATTGTGTGTAGATATTCATGTGACACACAGAAAGTCTGGAAGGCTAAATAGCAAAGTCTTTAAACCAGTGGTTCTCAACCTTCCTAATGCCGCGACCCTTTAATACAGTTCCTCATGTTGTGGTGACCCCCAACCATAAAATTATTTTCGTTGCTACTTCATAACTGTAATTTTGCTACTGTTACGAATCGTAATGTAAATATCTGATATTGCAGGATGTATTTTCATTGTTACAAATTGAACATAATTAAAGCATAGTGATTAATCATAAAAACAATATGTAATTATATATGTGTTTTCTGATGGTCTTAGGGACCCCTGTGAAAGGGTCGTTCAACCCCCAAAGGGGTCGCGACCCACAGGTTGAGAACTGCTGCTTTAAACGGTGCCTTCTTTTTGTGAATGGAAATGTAGGAGAGGTGCTCGTTTTTTTTACAATTTTGTTTACTTTGATTTTTCACTCTTACAAATGAATATTCATCAGAAAATATTCTCTGGGGCATTTAGATCCTCAGTGGGTTATTAATGAAAAATCTTATTCTCTAAATAAAACAACCCAACTAATTTGCCTGTATCGGGGAAAAGGTGCAACATGAGTAGCGCACATTGGACTCTAGATCTTATTACCAACATAGGATTTTCCACATATTTTTCTCCTTGGTTCCCAGCAAGAAGAAGAAATGTTTACTCAGTGGTAAAATTCAAAAACTGTTGTTTATTACCTGTTCAAACTTCGTGGGAGATAGATGGCAGTAATCTTCTATTTCTAAAGATGCAGAAACCGTCTTTCCTGGTTTGGCTCAGTGGAGAGAGTGCCGGCCCATGGACTGAAGGGTCAGTTCCAGTCAAGGGCATGTACCTCAGTTGCAGGCTCTATCCCTGGCCCTAGTCAGGGCATGAGTGGAAGACAACCAATCAATGCATCTCTCTCACATTGATTTTTCTCTCTCTTTCTCTCCCCATCCCTTCCACTCTCTTAAAATCAATGGGAAAAAACCTCAGGTGAGTGATTAACAAAAAAAAGAATGATGCAGAAGTCAAAAGTAAACTTTTTCATGATTATTCTGCATCAAATTATTGAACAAAGCACAAAGAGAATTCAGATATGATTGTAAGTCCACAAAGAAGCAGCCTTTTGGTAGGCATACCTTATTGATTAAGACTGGCTATTTAGTCATATCTTAGGATCTTTTCCCAAGTTATAAACACGAAAATAAAGTAAACATGTATAAGTTATTAAGTGTTTTCAGGAAATAGGAAAACACCAATCAAGAGAGTTGAATTGCTAAATCTAAATGCTCTGGAAGAATTAAGATTTATTGTTAGCTTATTTTACTATATCAGGGGTTGGCAAACCATGGCCAGTGTGTTAGTTCTACCCCACACCTAGTTTTGTAAATAAATTTTTTAAAATATGTTTTTATTGATTTCAGAGAAGAAAGTAGAGAGAGATAAGAACTTAGGAGCTCTCTGAAGGGTTTCGGGATGCTGTACCCTACTTTGAGAGTTGCTGCTCCAGATATTAGACACAACAAAGCATGTTGAAGAGTCAAAGCCTAATCTATCCCCTGGAATTAGTGGGATTCAAGACTAGAAAATGATGGAAACAGTTGGTTTACAAAATAGTTTAATACATTTTTTCTGTAAATTTTTACTGAAAGAGAATGGAAATAGGAAGTACCTACTTTAGATAGGGTGACCAGGAGAGTCCTCTGAAGAAGTGACCTTTAAGCTGAGACCCAAGTGATAAGAAGGTAGCTACCTGAACAACAGGAGGGACATGTACTCTGAACCAGAAATTAATTTAGAATTTCCTCAAGTTATTTATTTTCTCGCTTACTTATCTGTTCTTACCAGGTCTCTTTCTTTTATGTCCACTGTTATATTTCCAGCACCTCATACAGTGCCTGGCACATAGGAGATGCACAATAAATGATTTCTGAATGAGGATAGTGAGCAAAGGGCAGTAGCACAAATTAAGGTTAGGGAAGCAGGGTTCCAATCACATAAGGCCATTTAGATCATCCAAAGGTTTGGGTTTTATTCTAGATTTAGGGAAATATTTAAAGCTGGAGAAGGAAACATTCCACTTTATGTTTTAAGGTCACTTTTGTGGCTGTGTGGAAAGTGGATTGGAGGGTAGCATAGTGGAAGTGAAACCAGGTAGGCTTTTATAGGACTCCAGTTGAGAAATGAGGGCCCATACTACTAAGATAATACCAGTAGCAATGGAGAAAAGGGGCAGAATCAAGGTATATTTGGGACATACCATTGACATGGCTTACTAATGGAATTAATTTTGAGAATGAGAGGGTGAATCAAGATGATACCTAGCATCTGGTCACATCTGGTGGCAGCATAGGGAAATGTGGTACTGCAGCCTCCCAGAACCACATCAAAATTTACAACTAAAATACAGAACAACCATCATTCAGAACCATCTGAAATCTAGCTGAACAGAAGTCCTACAACTAGGGCCGTGGTTGGCAAACCGCGGCTCGCGAGCCACATGCAGCTGTTTGGCCCCTTGAGTGTGGCTCTTCCACAAATACCACGTGCAGGCACGCACGTACAGTGCAATTGAAACTTTGTGGCCCATGCACAGAAGTCAGTATTTTGTGGAAGAACCGGTATTTTGTGGAAGAGCCACACTCAAGGGGCCAAAGAGCCGTAGTTGGCTTGCGAGCCGTGGTTTGCCAACCACTGAACTAGGGAATTAAAGAAGCACATCAAGACTGATAGGAGGGGTGGAGACACTGGACAGAATTGCAGAACCAGTTGTTCCCACACCCATTTGTGGTGGTTTAAAATTGGGAGGGATGCCCTAACCGGTTTGGCTCAGGGGATAGAGCGTCGGCCTGTGGACTGAAAGGTCCCAGGTTCGATTACAGTCAAGGGCATGTACCTTGGTTGCGGGCACATCCCCAGTAGGACGTGTGCAGGAGGCAGCTGATCAGTGTTTCTCTCTCATTGATGTTTCCACCTCTCTATTCCTCTCCCTTCCTCTCTGTAAAAAATCAATAAAATATATAATAAAAAATAAAAATAAAATTGGGAGGGATATCTTGGATGTGGAGGTTTCCCTGAGGAACAAGAGGACACTGCCACACACCAGGCCCCCAGCCCAGGGTTCCAGTGCCAGGAAGAGAAGTCCCCACAACTTCTGGCTGAGTGACATGTCTGTGGGAGACCCAGGTAGGTCCCCTTAAAAGACCTATGCACAGACTTACTCAGACTCACTCCCTTTTAGTTCCAGTGGTAGAAGCCTGAAAGGAACTTGGAACATTCAGGAAGGAACTACCTTGTCTGGAATCAGGGCAAGAGCTGGAGGGACAGTTTTCTCCCAGATAGAAGTGCTGGCAGAGGCCAGTGTTCCTTTGCTGAGCCCTTCCTGCCACAGAGCTGACAGGCTATGCCATATCTGGATCTCCATCAACCTGGCTCACACTTTTCACCCTGCCCTGGTGGTTCTCTGAGACCCCGCCGCTCCCTACTTGCAGGGTCATCCAAGCCATTTCCAGTGGCTTTTCCATACAACTGGCCTCTTTTGCCTCTTGCTTTGGGCTTTACTAAAATCTCTTAAACAAGCAGCAACTGGCATCAGTGTACTCTGTAGCTCTCAATTGGCCCCAGGTCCAGCACTAGTAACAGCCCACCCTGGTTCACAGCTTGGTCTCTCCTGGGCACCTCCAAGCTCAACACAAGTAGTAGCCATCTGCAGATTGCTTAGTAGCCCATGCTGGGTGGCTCTGGACAGGGCACAGGCAGACTTTACACCTCCTGGGAGGCCCCAGAGCCAGTGCAGCCAGTGGTCAACTTTGACCACCCAGATTACAACCCTACTACCTCCACAAGTGTCACACTCAAGGGGTGGACTCAGTGAGCACCAAAGCCCCATTGAAGCAAGTCCTGCTCCATTCAGTTCCTGCACAGCAGCTTTTCTACTGTAATTGCAGCTGATCCTTATAGTGGATTGGCCACTGTGGGTCAGTCCCTCCCAGTGAGGCTGACATACATCAAGGCTCAACTACAGTAGGACTGCACACAGTTCACACAAGGGTGCACCTGGAGTTCCCAGCTCAAGTATCTGAGATAGCTGAGCCACTACACTCTACAGGACACTTACTACACAAGGTGACTCTACCAAGTCTGGGAAACAGTAGATCTACTAAATATAGTAGGTCCTTGGGTTACGTCAGAGATCTGCTCCTACGGCGTGATGTGACGCAA